TACAATCAGCCATCGTATAATACAATGCAAAAATTCAAAGCAAGTCTGGTTATGGATTGTGAATAAACTCAAAAACAAATTGAATGTAGATGTCACTTATCTACATACTATATTACAATATCTAGAGCATAGGAATGTGAAGGTAGAAGATGTAGAACTGTATAACTGGTTCATAATTGCAGGTACTTATTGGAACATGGAAAAAGGTAGTGAACTTGAAAACTTTTAAGAATCTGCTGAGATTATCAAGGATGAAATTGCTAACAACAAACAAAACTATAAATAGAAAAATATTTTGCTTCTAATACCTGTCTACTAGCAAAGTATCAAGAAAAATGGAATAGAGTAGGTAGGTTAAGTTAGATTGAGCAAAACTCTGTGATATGTATTTAGAAAGAAAATAAAGATTCAAAAATGAAAAAAAATTCTGGAAAGAAGCGGAAAATAATGAACAATGTGGTCTACTTTTTATAAGCGCGCATCCAAATTGACATCTAGTATAATAATAATAATAATAATATGTTTATTTCGAAAGAATTAGAATACAATCAAAGAAATAATGATAGCAAGTTAACATTAGGTAAATAAACATTAGAAAACCCACAGAAGCAGCAAATGCTGCTTGTACGTGGTGAAAAAGTATGAATTTAGTTTGACGAGCTATTATTGAAAATTCTAAGATTAATAATTTTGGAATATAAAACTAAGTAGGTACAAAAATTCAAGAGTGTGAAATATTAATATACAAAATAATCAAAATGGATAGATATAAAAATAAATGAAATGAAAGAACTCCGGTGTTAAACAATCACAAAAACTTCGAAGACGTATAATATAATATATGTATATAAAATTACTGACAATACTAAAATAAATAATTTCGAAATATGAATCTACGTACAAAAATTCAAGAGTGTAAAATACTTGATTAGTTTGTGTATGTGAAAATGTAATGAGCACTCGGAAATATCTAAAATAATTAACAAATTTTTCTATGGAACGAAATCCATCGATAGTTTACCTAATTCGGCTCTAATTGAGTTGAAATTTGACGACTGGTTATTTTTTTGTAATAAAATTGGATTTTTTGAATAACGAGTTCAATGAGAATACTGTTTTTCAAATTGGATGCGCACTGTTGAAAAAAAAAATTGTTTGTTTTGCCTGAAGACGGATCTGGATTCTAAACTCGATTCATATTTAGTTTTGATGAGTAATATTAGTTGAATATACCTACCAAGTATGAATCGATTATACACAGTGGTTCAAAACTTATGACCTGACCATAGATGAAGATTTTGCCAAAATCAAGATTACGTTCTGTATCACAGTTATCGAAGATGGTAAATTCTTTAAAGATACAGTTTCCAACAGGAAGCACGAAAATTAGGATGAAGTATTCCTTGATCGGAGAAAATACAACAAACGGTACGAAACATACAGGGTATGTCACGACGTGCTTACACTATCTCTATATCAATCAGTCTGGAGAAATCCATGAAAATATGCATGTGATCAGAATTCTGAATCTTGAACCACCCTGTATCTGTTCCGATTGAATGTCAGTAAATAGTGAAACAAAAGTTGAGATAGGGCCATGTGAGCCGTTTTGACCGATAATGAATATTTTCGACACAAAAAATCCTAAAGTTTAAAAATATAGATTCTGAACACCCTATAATCTTATGATGCGATAAAATACAGGATGTTCCATTCGAAATGTCAATAGTTCTACTACTTTCTAGTAGAAGCGGCAACACTGCATTGTCGAACATATCTTAAATGAAATAAGCGGATACTAAAATACAAGCATGCACATTTTCATTAATTTCTCCCGACTGATTCTCGATTTAAAGATAGTGTATGCTCGTCGTGACATACCCTGTATAGGGTAATGAAGTTAAATGAATACAGAGAAATATGAGGAAAAATTGAGAGAATTGCTCTGCACTCACCAGCGTAAAAAAACTGAGGCTTTGATGAAACAACACGAAACACTAGAACAACACACGATCCCGATATTATTATTATTGAATCGAATGAGGAATACAAAAACACTATATACGAATCAATACGATCACTCAGTTTTTAGGGAACACTCAGTTTGGAACGATAAATAATTCCTTTCGCGTATTTTTCGATGTCGATCTCAATATTCGACCGCACGTGATGACATCTAATATAAGACTGTCTTGTTTACCACCTGGTCCCGAATGAATGACGAATAAGTTGAATCATGCTGTTAACCGATTAATTTCCGAACAAAGAATGATTTATCTATGACTAATGATGATAATGAAATTGAACGGGGGGGGGGGGAGATATTTTGTATACAGGTGCTATTTTTTTTTCGAAAATCACTAACGATATGGAAGAATTTTATAGGCTAAAAATATATTTTCCACCCAGGCCGTTTCATATCTTCCTTCCATAAGCGAATGGTTCATATTAGTTTTGGAAAATTGAATAAATGATATCCTTTTTTTTCAGAATTGGCACAATTTATTACACAGCAAGTGATTTCCATAGCTGCTTTTGTCTCTAAAGTATAATTAGAATTTTTATTTCAATTCTGACGTTTATAAAATGTATTATCCAATTCAAACAATTTTGTTGAAAAGGAATATTCTCAGATAAATTATGAACATACAAAAATGGATATAAAGCAATACATTGAGAATTCGCATTCTCTATGTGATGAGAATATCTACTCTTTTTCAGTTTATTCAATAGAAAACAACTACTTTCCTGGCTATATGCCACGACGAACATTGAATTATATCTATTGAACACACACGATAAGAGTTCGAAAATAAAATATAAAAATTCTGAAATTGAGAATTTGCATTCTCCTTCAGACAAAAATATGTATAGGCACACACACATCATTCTGAATATTCAACAGAAAACAACTACTTTCCTGGCTATTTGCCACGTCGAACATTGAATTATATCTGATGAACATTCAAATGAATGTCAATTTATCATACATCCAAAAGCAAAAACGTCCAAATGACAGGAATAGAATGTCAACAAATTTTCTCAGATGTCATTTTGTTATAGTTTTACGGTTTTAGTTGTATTATAGAGAGATGAAAATTGTGTATATCATGAAGAATGGCTGTAAGAATAAGTGTACATCATGGTTACTGATGAGGATTCAGAAATCCGAAATGGTTTCATTGCAATAAAGTCATATAAATTGTGTGAGAGAGACAATATTTCCCATATCACTGATATGAATTATGAATGATTATTTTTGAAAGTTTTCAAACTCATCAAGATCAGAGTTTATGCCAGTATACTTCTATACATTCCAATTTTCATTTCAATGCTGAATATATTGGTAAGTTATATTTCTATATCATTATACATCATATTATTCATCCGATTTGAAGAAGAACGTCAATTCTCAATTTCGGAGGGTTTTATTTTTTATTTTTCATGTTCTCCTTTTGAATGTTCATCAGATATAATTCAATGTTTGACGTGGCGAATAGCCAGGAAAGTAGTTGTTTTTTGTTGAATATTCAGAATTATGTGTGCCTATACATATTTTTGTCTGAAGGAGAATGCAAATTCTCAATTTCAGAATTTTTTATATTTTATTTTCGAACTCTTATCGTGTGTGTTCAATAGATATAATTCAATGTTCGTCGTGGCATATAGCCAGGGAAGTAGTTGTTTTCTATTGAATAAACTGAAAAAGAGTAGATATTCTCATCACATAGAGAATGCGAATTCTCAATGTATTGCTTCATTTAAATATATATCCATTTTTGTATGTTCATAATTTATCTGAGAATATTCCTTTTCGAGAATTTAATTGAATTCAATTACCTATTTATTCAGATTCAAAAACAATAAAATCATTCTTGTACTGCAGGTATTGATGGAACAAAGAATCATAAGTAGAAAATTAAGAGATATTTGACTAGAAACATGAAATATTGAATCAGTTAGAGTAAGTGTTCAAAATGTCCTACGTTTCGACGAATACACGATTTTATATTCTTTTCTTGAGAATGTATTATTCTTTCAAACAGTTGAGAATCAGCTGTTAGGTCATTTAAGTGATGTTCAATTATGTATTACAACTCTTGACGTGAATTTACCTATGTAGCATAAACTTTCTGCTCAAGATACAACAAAACTGTGTAATCCATGTTCTTAGTCAAATCTGTTTCGATGTTATTCTTGTGATTCATTGTCAAATCAATAAGTTCAGCATCAGAAATGTATTGTCGTTTTCGGTTTTCAATAAATAGGTGATAATTTTTCATAATACTCTAATACATAGCTTTATAGCAGCAACAGTTATCACTTCATCATTTTTAAATCGAAATATTCCGAAAACGGGACACAGTAACGAGTTTTACCAAGAGTACCCTTTTGGTGTGAAATTGAATGATGTTCAAGTTCACGTCAAAATCGGATTGAAAAATCTAACCTCAAAAAAGTTATGTTCAAAACTGCTCAGTACGAACCGTGTAACTAGCGCCCTCTATGAGAGTCAGATATTAAAACAAATGCATGCGATGTGTCAGATTCCATGAAACATCCACACAAAATTTCATCACAATGGTGCAAGTAGTTTCGACATAATCTTGAAAAATGTGTAAAAAAATTATTGTTTCAACACCTTGTATCTTGATAACGGATGCCAACTTATTTTGCAGTATTCTACCTACCCTAGTAAGGGAGTTAGGTTTTTTTGAAACATCCTGTATAAGTGTGTTGATGTCTTTTTTTTATAACAATTTATTTACAAATGTTTTTATTATATTCATACATTATTGTATTGTTTTGTTGTATTGACTTGCTACAAATGTATGTATTTGCATAAGGTAGTCAAATTAACGCTATCTATCTATGAATGGGGAGAGAGAATGGAACTTGACTAGTCTGATAAGTTTATATGTAACTATATGTGTAAACTTCAATGATGAATAAATATCTATCTATCTATCTACCTCTGACTCTCGTTTCCCCTTTCGTAGAGGCATGCTGGGCGCCGCCCACATCCTCGCCATGGACTCGAAGAACCTGCTCGACGTCGTCGACTCCATCCGGATCAGGCACCCGCACATCGACGAGCAGATATTCAAGGCGACAGACGCCGACGGGCAGGAACGTGGGGCGGCCGCAGCTGCCCCCCATCAGCCACCCCCGTCGCCCGTGCCTGTCGGCTGCGCCATCGTGCAGACGCAGTCATACGTCGACGAGGTGCGGGCGGCCGTCTCGTCCGATGTGAGTGCGAACGGTGTGGCGGGCAGCTAGGTCGGGCAAGTGTTGGGCAAGTTGTCCGGGTATTGATGAACTCGATCATTGTCGATCGAAATGAAAAGGCGAGCAGATGGGAAGGTATGATATTGTATGCTCATTCGAAAAAGGATATTTGAAAATAACTCTTCGTCACAGTTTTTTCTACCGTAGATACAGTAGAAACACTTAGAGTGCCTCGAACATTTCACGCTCTTTAAAGAGTGTGGACACGCTTGTCATCTTGTCAAACAGCTGAACAAAAAAGACATACAGAGAAGTGCACAATAAACGGCCAGTGCTGTAACTTCTTAATCATTTGAGATTCGGAAATAGCTATTTATAAGAGATGGAATGTCATTTTTCTGTACCCCTTCAACGAACGAGTGCAGACATACAGGGTATCCGGAAAAATGCTACCGAATTTCGTTATTGGATTATTCACCGTGAAAGTTTAAATAACACAAATATATTTCATATAACTTTCAAACGGTTGCCATTGTATTTATGATATTGGGGCTACTAAATTAGCTCATACTAGTGCTCCTTTCGAAATGTAAACGGCTGTTCAGTGTTCATGTTCTTTACAGGATAGGACATATTTTTTCCATTTATTGGAGGCATTTTTGACAGGGGGGCAAAATTTTACACTTTGCTTCGACCGTTTGATTCCTTCTTTTTTTTTCTACGAAAATATTATTATTCATTTCAATGGATATCTTGTACCGTTATAGAAAAACTGGCAATTTAAAAGTTATTCATGAAATATTATTTATTATTATTATTTACGACATGACCTTTCCGGACCTAGGGATATTTCATTCACATTCCCCGTTGAACCCGGTTAGGGTATTTAGGTGAAGGTGATGGGAGGCAACTACGTTATAATGACGTCAACATTAACTATTTTTGAATTCCTATTTCTTCCACTTGCACAGGATACCCGTGTATCTCTTACTTCGATTTCTACTCCATTCATTCTCAATTTCAAAGTTCCCATCATTTCCTCCATTTTTCGCATTCATCATTTGTAAACTATGGAGCTATTAAACTCAAGGGCAAGTATGCGAGGTGTGCCCTAACGGAAATGACGTCACGGTTAAACACAATGAAATGGGATTATCAGCTTTAACCTTGACCGGTAATGTGAATGAAATATCCCTCATATATTATTATTATTTAAAACCCTAACAGTAGCGTTAAACCAAAGGCAGATAATGCTCTTTTTGTAGTTTCATCAATATAACATCATTTAATGTATTTCCATGAAGCGAATATTGGAATTTGAAGCTTTAAAAACACTTGAAATATCTTTTCGTCTCGAGGCATCTCAGATATAAATGGTAATAACCATAATTCTCAGAATTCTTGCAATATTCGAAAGCATGTTCGCGGGGACGCCTATTCCATTTTCAAAACTGACGTTTCAAATCTTGGAATGATGACAATTTGGTGATGTCAGTGATGACAAGCGTGTTCACATTCTTGAATGGGCGTGTAATGGGATGTTCCAGGCACTCTAAGAGTTACCGAAGGCGGATTCACGCAACATTCAATATAAATACATTTTCACTACATTATAATTACCTTATCACTTGCCATTAGGTACCAGTTCAGAAACAAAGTCATAATGGTTTGCGTGCAAGAACTGTCAGATGTCTTATTTGGTTACAAATGATTTAAATGGTTTTTCACATTCATTTTGGCAAATGAATCGTCTTTTTCGGCTATTCATTAATTCGCGCATGCCATCACATTGTGCTGTTATGTTGTGCAATGCACAAAAAATGCAGCGAGAGCCGAAGGAATCCAGTTGGTACATTGTGATTTAAAAGTAAATACCTACCATAGTCACTCACATATAGTTTTCATTTTGAAATTTGGTAATTTCTCTGATTTCTCATCGGAATTCCTTCTGCAGTAGAAGCTAATAGAAATACGGGAGGACTGGTCTGACATGCTGACGAAATAAGATCATGTGTGCTGTAGACATTTTCAATCTATTATCAGTATTTGCTTCTATTGCAGAAGTGGCAGAAGGAATTTCAATAAGAAATGACAAAAATTTCATAATGAAAACAATGTGAGATTACTATTTACCTGGAAAATCATATCCCTTCGTCTCTCGCTGCATTTTTTGTGTATTGTACAACAGCACTATGAGAAGGCATGCTTGAATTAATGAATAGAGCAAAAAACACGATTCGTATATTTCGATTTACATCCAATTCTCACCTAAAAATCTGAAAATGTCCGCCAATATTCAGGGTCAGAAGATTATCTGCCACCTCATTAAAGATACGCAAACCATAGGTTTCATAGATTAAAGACTCGCCGGATAAGGAGGTTGTATGTTGTACTACGTCATACAAGCAATCACGTGTAAAATCGGAAAATGTTTACATATTTATACTATGAAGGTAATTGATTTCCAATTTTAATGAAAATTTGGAATAGTCAGCACCCAAAAAGCAAGTTTTCTGGCTAGTGCAGTGCCCCCCTGAGGCCAGGGCCCCAAGGCACGTGCCTCGCGTGCCTTGTTGATATTGCCTTGGCCCTGGATTTTAGTGGTGAATACCATGTTCTTATAAACGTCAAACGTTGAAAGAATGATTAATTTCTATTCAGTATTTGAATTTTCGTGTCCATTGAAAGAACTGACATGCAGAGATAAGAGCTGTGAACGCCTTTCCATTTTTCATCAAGTTGACATTTTTGTATTTTAAGTTATTGAGGATATATGGAATGGATTCAATTGTAATGATCTAGTACCTACATATGTTGTTTTGGCAGTAAAATGAAAAGGGTTTGCTATGGATTTGAAGTATTAAAAATATTATACTCAGCATAGTCAATGACTCAACCAAGTCACATCCCTAGTGTATTTAACAAAAAATTCTCGTTATTCCAAGGAATAAAAATATGTATTCAAATTATTTGATATTCCTAATTTCCAATGGAGCAGCATTTATTAATATTAGTTGATTGAAAACGGGATATTTCGTTCGGCACTTTTACATATTTCATGATGTGTTCATGTGTGATATGAAATGATTTCAACAAGAAGTACCTACAACGAATTCAGTTTTTTCAAATGGTTGTATACTTTTACGATGCTGTACTGTATTTCAATATCAGTGTGAATCTATCAAAATTACTGTGATGTGTTGTATAACAGCTCATCATAGGTTTATCATGGGTCTTTTGTTTTTCGAAAATTATCAGCATGAACGTCATAAATTTTTATAGGCATTTCGTTTTTGTTTCATTACAAAAATGTAATAACAATACCACAATTTAATTACATTTTAATTTCTGAAGACTGCATAGGATATTATTTGAGCTATTTGATGGCATTGTTCTAAATAATAAGGATAATATAGAAACAATTTATATATAGTATATTATGAACAGTAACCGTGTATAATTTTAGGATTTTAAAATCAATTCAACATGAATGGAATTCTGAGAAAATATTAAAGTAATTTTCTGTATATTATTGGATACATTTTATGCTGGAGTGAGTAAATTTTAAGGCATTGTGAATATATTATAAGATAGTTTTGTATATTTTTATTTTGTATTTATATGTATATGTTGTTTGTTTTTGTTTTTTTTTTGCTTTAAATATATAAAAGTTTGACAGACATACAAGATTTTTGTTATTTCCTTAGGGATACATATAAGATCTAAAATCAACAAATATATATAATTATAAGTTTGTTGTCGGAGAATTTATTCTACTTCTGAGCCATGTTGAAAAATTTTAGGTTTCAGAAAGTCGATTTTTTTGTTGAATTTATAACTAACATTTATTTATCAACCTTTTAAACCCCTGTATAAATTCACGTCATTCTGAATTATCATGTAGGATGACTTTCGCGTTTATACTTCCTCCTAAAAATTATAAAATGGGAAAATTTTGTTAGCTTAGGTGAGTATAAAATGATAGTTTCAACAAAATGGCCTAGTGCAACCAATGAGGATTGGCAATGGAGTCTTGAGATTCTGGGTTTCTCCTTAGTTTTTTTTTGTAAAAACTATCTACATAATTTCTTTGTATCAATCTTTGGCGGGTCATATTGATTGATGATAGGAGTAGGTACCAGATAAAAAATAAGATGACAGAAGTGACATCAGTTTGGTTTCCAACCTAAATAGGCCTTTTCATTTAGATGACAAATGCCTATCTCTGTTTACATCTTTCATCCAACGACAGTGGTGGCCATTTCTCCGAAACACTTGCACCCATATATCTACTACTCTAGAATATAAAGCATAGCTCTCTTCAGTTACCTATAGACCATTGACCAATAGGCGTTGATGCCGACGTAGGGAAAAAATAATACGAAACTTGTTAAACCAATATGGCTACGAATTTCAATTTTTTTGTTTGAAATTCGAATATTTGCGTTTTTAGTTGTAAATTTCTTTAGTGTTTGTGTTTTTGTTTATTTTTCATGGACTGAACTTTTTTAACCATTTCTAGTGGAACGAAATGCGGTATTTCCGGAGAAATAAAGAATAGACAGGAATCCTCTTCTTATAAGTAAGTTTGAATTTTCAAATTTTCTTGTTAATATATTGACATGCACAAAGCTACTATACTGTGAAATTATCAACGATTGATGACTATTAGACTATTAATATTTTATTATGACCAAATAATTATTTACGAACCTTACCTAACTTAAAATCTGATCCTCACGTCAGCAGTTCCCATCCTGCACTTTTCCTACTTATAGATTCAGAAAGTTCCCCTCATTTTGGTCCCATTTTTGTTGAGATATCGTATAGGCGATGCGCCATATATAGAAATAGTAGATATATGCTGGCACCACATTCCTCAGTCACGAATAAGTAACGATTTCACGTCAATAAAAACCGCCATATTTGAAATGACCAATCAGAATTTTGTGTCGGAGCTATAGTCAATGAGACTTCACCTTCGCATTACCCAATCAAATTTCGGATCTAAAAACGAGCGCATGCGTCTCAAAAATATATCTAAATGAAAAGGCCTATTGAAATCTCCAATACATAGCCCAGAATCTGTTCTAAGTGAACCTGTCTTTGATGCTAACATGCTAACAAATCAGGGAGCTTTTTCAGATGAAATTGATGATGATTCAATAAATAATGCTCTTAGAAAATACGGTTGGTTATAGTATGTCCAAAATGAATAAAATGCTCAAACAGGACAAATGATGGGTGGTGTAGAACTACATAACTCTGTAGAACTGGTTACATACAACTGACTGGCTAGATTCCTGATTCAACTCCAGCTGGTCAGTACTGTACAGTACATTTTTTGTGGTTTATTCATTCGTAATCAGCAGCAGTTATTGATCAGCTGGTGAAATTTCAATATTATTCTCAGCGCCAACTGTTATTAATAACAGTCAGTTTATGATATTGAATATGAAATATGATATAATTAATGTATTATTGATAAGATAAGACCACGATAAGACTTAATGTTTAAAAATCAAGGGAAAAAAATGTGACATTCCTTCTTCCTCTATAATGATGACAGTTCACTGAAGCCACACTACTCTAGCAATTTCGGTGGAAATATTTGAAATGAATAGTATGCTCACATGTATCTGTCAAATTCAAGGTTTTTTTTTATTTCGGCATGAAAAATCAGCAGATTCATTACTGTCAGTTGAATTCGGAATATAGCCTCTGTGAATAATCAATTCTGCCAACCTTGATATTTCCTCAGTTTTGCGCCATCTGTTGTTGAGTAATGAGCATTTAACCACCAGCATGAGCTCTACATCGTCTACATGATTAAATCAGAGTTTATGAAATACAAATTGAGTTCGAGCACAGTAGAGAGCTACTCTACTGTGGTTCGAGTTATCGAATAGTTTTCTAGATGGCAGCACATGTACTAGAAGGAAAGAAGAATAGTAAAGAAACGTAATAATCGCTGAATTCTGTGGTCCTTTTTCAAAATATATATACCGAGTGATGTTAAACTTTCTGATACTATTGGCACATTTTTTTATTTATCTAGGTTCAAATTTAGGTGTCAAGTGTTCTATTCCACACCTTTTCTATATCATGAAAGGTTGTGATTAGAGTGAAGGTATATTGTGGATATAACACAGAAGATCTGAGTTCTAGGGGATGCACAAATAAATAAAAAACAGTGATTTTACTTATTTCGTTATATTGAAACATAAAAATATAAAACAATAAATGAGGTAATATGTATATATACCGATTTATTTTTTAACACTAACATATTACATGATATCACATGTTACTTGCACACAATGAAGTGTTGTACGTAAAATTTATTATTGACATATTACGTCGATGTGGGACGACATGAAATTTACTAAAGTTGGACTCTTGAAAATCTATATTTTGAATCATATGAATAATTAATCGTTGTTGAGTTTTTTGTTGACTTTCAAGGGCCCTAAAGTTTTTATTGGAAAAACTCTTATTGCAACTTTTTATTTTATCAAAATATGTTTGAAATTTCTGTGCACATATATTTCATTTAGAATTAGACAGCAATTTTCATATAAAAACAGTATAATATTGATTGCCTTATGATTTTTTATAAAATTCAACTATTTTACTGGATAAACTTAATAAGTTCGTACCACAACAATCAGCCATTCAAATATATTTATATTATAACAGTTCTCAATAATTGTGCCCATGTATTGTTACTTGTTTCTGAAGAAATCAAAATAGTCATACTTCATGAAATGAAAAATGATACACAATAAATTACTGATTGGATTTAGTTAAGTTCGGCAAATCTGATTCCCAAGTACAAAACAATGTTATGGCAAGAAATTATGAATACAATTATCCTAAAAGTTGCAAATTCAGAGCCAAAAAATAGCTCAGTAGAAGTACTGAATGGAAGTCTGAATTTCATTTATCTTTTGTTCTATTTGCTGAAAGTAGGCCAAAAAACATTGATTTTGAGTCAGGCATCTGTTCAGGGGAAAATTACTTATCTAAATAACATGGTATACACCTACAAACATATCTCATATCCACGTTATTCAAGAAGTATATAGGGACGGTTTTAGATTTTTTTCCAAATATTAAGTATCTGTCGTTTTTGTTTCAATACTGGCTAATACTCTCAAGAATAACGGGACAATGGGCGACTAGAATTTCACTCCCAGCTGTTCAAAATAATAAGAATAGGTAGTAAAAAAAAAGATTGAAATGAATCGGTACATATATGGAGACGGTAACAAGTTTTTTGAAAATCTTAAGTTTAAAGGAACATTGATACGGAATATTCAATCTTCTGATTCATTCATAGAATGTATAACTACCAAAAATGTAGAATCAGATATTTTTTAACTCTTGGTAGTCATTCATTCTCAACCTGGAAGTATTAATAATCATAACATAACATACAAAATTCAGCTAGGGAGTTGGTTTGATTTTTGTGGATATTGCCAATTCAATAATAAAACTGTATTCACATATCTTTTAAAATGTATGTAACATATATTAAGTATTTACAAATATAGACCTAATTAGAATATTTATTTTCTCTTATATACAATATGCACAATATTTCTTCATATTTACAATTCCTATGTACAGAGGAATACCCAAATTGGATCAATAAATTATAAATTGAAGGGAAGAAATGTTTAAAACTGCATTTTGAGCTTCATAGCATAGTACCACTGATAGATTGTAAAAATATGATCATGTGTTCACAAAGATCATTTTTTAGGCAAGACAAATCAGTGTTTGAAATATTGCTTACTTATGCTATGTTTCACGTTTTGAGCTTTGGCGAGATCGAATCTTTTCCGTCATACCCAAATAGGCCATATCAAGCTAAGTACTCAGTCCAAGGGCCAAAATAAAAACGAAATATATCCGAAAAATAGTCAACAAATATATAGCTGCACATTGTCATATGCACAAGTTATATGTCTTTTTAATATCTTTCTTGCTTAACTATACGAATCACAACCTGAGAAAATAGGACAGATGGAAAGAACAAGTGTTGGGGTTAGATGAACTCTCTGGTTATGTTGAAGATTGATACCACATATTACTAATTTTTGTAACCTATTTATACATCTATAATATCAAATGGTCAATGATGGAGATAAAGAAAGAATAGCGAGATGTGATTCTCTTTGAAACCAAATGAAATATAAATACCTATCTAGAATTAGAAAACCATAAAAAATAGCTCATGATGAATGAAACCTTTAGAGACATATTTTTATTTAACATAAAAATCCCTGTTTTTTAATACATACCGACAATTTCATGAAAAATAGTGAGGGTTAACTCTCACCCCCAAATTGAAAATCAAATGAATCCACTTTACTTGGTTTACTTTTGAAATCTATATTAAAATGGATGTTCCCGACTTAATTATATATTGTTTCCATGGATCCGTTTCATATATTATAATATATATAGATAGGTATTCTTCTTTTCCTAATCCTCATTTCCTTATACAGCTTGTCCAGTAAACCATATATCATAGCTGGTGATAACTACATAGAGAACTACAACTTGACCTCAGTAAAAACCTCATGGTTTTTGAGATATTGGGACTTGAATATCTCAGATCATCCTTTCTTGTTCCAAGTGTGTCCATGTTAATTCTTATTTTCGATAAATATTACTGAATAGTACCTAGTTGTAACTATCACAGGAGGCAGATTTTCAATAGCAGTCTTTTACGGTAAAAAAAAATATCCTACGATTTGGATCCTCCATGTTTTCTATTATGAAACTTTGTTCAAATTTTTTTTTGTAGAGCGTAAATGCCTGCTATCGTGAATCTGCTTTCTTCGATTGTTACAACTACTATTCGTTGATATTTATCAAGAACAAGAATCAACATGGAACGTTCCGAGATAGGAATTCAATTTTCTTTATAAGTTCCATTATCTCGATAAACGTGATAGTGAGGTTGTTACTGAGGTCAAATTATTGTGGTTATCTGACAGGTTATAAACTTGTTCATCACCAGAGCTAGAATATTTAACCACGACCAGACGCCCTGTATATTGTATTAGGAACTAAATGCATTTGGATGATCCTAAGACGCCGTATCTCTCCCAACATAACCTCACACCTCCGCCAACACTCGTTCCTCCCCGCCTGCACCTAACCGACCTTACATAGCCACCTAATGCTACGTACCCCCCACCAGCACATGCATGAACCCGTCCCACTCGTTCTCAGTCCGCCCCGCGTCCTTCCACTCGGAATTATCCACCCCACCGAGCCCCAACTCCGCGTACAACTCGTTATTGTTCAGCGACTCCAAATCCGTCTGACTCGTGAGGCTCAACACCGAGCCCCAATTGATGGGCCGCGTTGACTCATCGTCCCCCAAGCCCGAGTCCGTGTCCGGGCCGGTGCTGGGAAAAGGGGTCGCCCTACCCGAGCAGTTCATGTCGCGCAGGCTCTGCTCGTAGCTCGGCGCCTCGGGCACCGCTATGGGCGGCTGCACCGGGGCAGAGTAGCTCGGCTCGGGCGGCTCGGCTTCCATCTCTCTCTCGAGCCTGCGCAGCGTGTTGCAGATGAGCACCGAGCGGCGCAGCGAGGGGTCGGAGCACTGCCGGTAGCGCGCCAGCTTGCACATGGAAAGGTTGAGGACCGCCAGGCGGCGCTGCCTGTAGCAGGGGACGTGGCACCAGCGCGTTCTGCCGTCGCAGCAGCGCGTTCGAACGGCCGGGGAGGCGCCTAGTTCGAGGTACGATTTGCCGTTCTCCTCGCAGCGGATGGTTTGCTGCTGGGGCGGTTGGTAGTATTGCCAGTAGTCGGGTTGCGATTGGTACCTGAAACAATACGGATACTTTCAATTAAAAAGTTCGAAAGATCTTGTCTATATATAGGTAACGAAATAGATTTCAATTGGGCATGTACTGCGTGAAAGTAAGGGTGACTTTATGAAAACTTTTAGCATTTACGATCTAACATTTAAACATTTAAGACTCAGGAGTCTTACGTAGAGTCAGTTATAAAAATATTAAGATTCTAGGGCGATACATGTCTTCTGTCATTCCTGACATCTAGTTTCTGATACAAAACCAGATTTTCAAAGTTTAGTGAGAATGGCTTTTCTAGAGAAAAGGCATGCTCTTGTTTTGTTTGCATTGAAATCTACCAAGTTATTGGATCCCCACTCGAGAATTGTTGCCAAGTCCATATTTATGTTGTCAACATTTCTTCCTCGTTCGTTTCTGATTTGCCTGGATGGTAGTGGAGCCCAGGAAAAGAAGGCGGTATGAGTACTATCATCCGCGAAGCTGTGTACTGGACATGAAGTTGCTTCCAACAAATCGTTGATACGTAGTAGAAATAGTGTTGGTGCTAGAATTGATCCTTGCGGAGAACAAAGCTGGGGAGGCAAGCCATAAAGATGGTAGCTTGGCGAGGAGTCCGTGGTGCCAGACTCGATCGAATGCTTTGAATATATCAAGTGCAACGGCTAAGGTTTCACCATATTATTCAATAGATTTCTGCCATATATGTGAGACGTAAGCGAGTAGGTCACCAGTTGATCTCTGATGACGGAAGCCATATTGCCTATCGTTGATGATACCTGAATGTTCCAGGTATTTCATGAGCTCGATGTTGATAGCTTTTTCCATGATCTTTGAAATAATAGATAGCAGTACGATCGGTCTGTAGTTGCTAGGTAGGGTCTTTCTGCCTTTTTAGGAACTGGTTGTACTCTTGCAATTTTCCAGTTGGAAGGAAATATCCCCAATTTGTAAGAGTAGTTGAACAACTTGCAGAGAACAGGTGTTAGTTCGGGAGCACATTTCTTGAGAACAATCGGTGGGATTCCGTCGGAGCCATAAGCTTTGTTGGTGTTGAGACCCAATAAAATCTTCCATATAGTACGTTGGCGAAAGGTGATCTCGGGCATAAGACTGTCAATTGGCGTTATGTTTGGAGGTTGTTTTCTCGATGGATCCAGAGTGGAATTTCCAACAAATAAATGCGCAAAAATGTTGGCTTTCTCCTGGGCAGTTGTGGCTAGTGTTCCATTTTCCTTGATGGTTAGAGGAGGAAACGAGCTGGAAGTGAAGTTTCTTCCTACAGCTTTGGCGAAGGACCAAAATGAACGGGATCCGTTAGAACATTCAACAAGTTTTGATCTTATTTTGGCATTATGAGCATCCTTTGATGATCGAATTGTCTCATTGCATATGCCTCTAGCCTCGACATATTATGCCCTAAACCTCCTAACTTTTGAGCTATAGAGTGTTTTCTTGTCATAACTTCAATACTGTTCTAGATATTTCCATGAAATTTGGACATGCACCTACTGAGCATCAATAGGTATTTTTCGATGCACGAGATTTTACCCTGTATAATACATTCGTGAAAAACTGAGGTAACGGCTTCGACCGTCTCCCACTCACCTATTGTAAGGCTGCTGGCTGAACCTAGCCGGCTCCGGCATGCCGCCCGAGCACCTCTCCTCATCAGACAGCTCCTCATCGAACTCGTCCTCGTCGAAATCCTCGTCGGTCAACAGGGTGGCCGCCAAAGCGGGGGTGGGCGCCCGCCACGCGTCCGCCGCCGGTACCGCCACCGCGCGCAGCCGCGCAATGCAGTCGTCCGCCTCCCAGCGGCCGCTCTTGGCGGGCGCGGGGGCGGCCGGATCCGCGGGGGCGGTGGCCGCCTCCTCCAGCTTGCGCTTCGTGCCGCCGCCCTGGGCGGTCGCCACGCCGGATGCTGTCGTCGCCTGCAAACCCATCATGGCACAGTTAGGCTGAAACGAAAAGAGGGCTGTCAAGGTTGGTGTCAGTAATGATGGAAGTGGTATTCGCGATCGCCAAGGTCATTAGATGACGTTCTGATGACATTAAAAACTACGGGAGAACAAGTCTCTGATAAGTCTTTTAATCTATGCCAGGGATTAGGATATTCGTGGTCGCCAAGGTCATTATGGCATTTTTGAGGAACAATGAGTGGATTATAATTATTATTTAAGAATATTACAGCTTCCCTTCCAATATCTTCACTAAAATCACTGAAACCAAGACCTATTGTGGTATATTGATTATAGATAATTAAAAAAAAATGATTTCAAAATATATTGATTATCGATCATATTAGATGTAGGTATCATTACTTGTTATATTAATATATTTATCGATACATATCAATTTTTTTCAAGTCTAGTTCATGTTCTAAGCCATTAGAGATCATTCTTTCTATCTATGCCAGGGATTAGGATATTCGCGGTCGCCAAGGTCATTATGGATGACGTTGCAATGGCATTAAAAACTACTATTCTTTGATGTTTCCCCCTAGTTTTGAATGGCATCAGAAGCATTTATTCATTCGATGGAATATTGGTATTCAAATGAATATAAGCTTTATTTTTGAGTAACTTTTGAGGAATAGAGAGTGGATTACAATCATTATTCAAGAATATCACAGCTCTTTTTTCAATGTCTTCAATAAAATCATAATTTATTTGTACTCGTTGGTCGTTGGAGTCTAGTTGGAATGAGATCTTTCACTTTGGTGTTGGCAACACTGAGTCTAGTTCATATCTAGCTTCACGTGTTGGCAACACTGAGCCTGATTTCAATCGTTTGTCAACTGTCAACGCGTCAAAGTCAACGGTCACTGGTCAGTATCGTCAGTGGTCAGTTCAATTTTTTTCATTATTCCATATTTCAAATTTTAAGCATTTTGCAGTTGTCGTTTGGCGCGATTTGAATGAAAGTGTCTTATTGAACACCACACGAATTCTATTATTGACTCTCATTATACTCTTCAGTGTCGTTTAACTCGTGTATGTGCGTGAAGGAAGAAATATGCTAGGGATCACGACAAATTCCAGTTGATCACAGAAAATTTCCAGTATTGATTCATGCGAGGATACATGTATCAGGTTCTAGATCCTGAAAAACGTTACTACAAGGTAGGAAGTTATTTACTAACGTACCTAATTCATTTTTTCAATCAATCGGCACTATATTTGTTTATCAACCCTTGCCGACAGTGGCTCAAATTCCGGCAGGCGGTTATTTAAAAAATATACGACTGGTCATTTTCTTTGTTGTTTTTGTTCGTGTACTGTATCGCCCTGTATAAACAGTTATCACGAGCGTAAATTAAATAGAAAGCGCCTTCACAAAAGCCGAGTCCGCGTTTTATCCGGCCTACGCCGTTCACTTCGCAGCACATCTATCTATAACGTTGCCTATTGAGACTATTGAGAGTTTCTCTAGTTCTTCACCGTTTTTACCGCATGTTCTAGCTACCTATTCGTTGTTGAGAAATCCAGGAGCACAATGTACTAGATAGCAACAAAAACGGTTAGAAAAATCGTCTTTCCGCCATTTTGACACTGCTCGTTCTCAGATTTACATAAGATAAGGTGATCAGTTTTCCACGACACAGGGTCTCTAGGTATAGGATTAATCATGTCTTATTGCTATTCGTCTTTTACTCAGTAGACAGGTGCAACAGGTGCACAAGGCCATCAGGACGTAAGGGTCCTGAAACGGAACCAAGGGGGGTTCTAGATTAAAATTCTAAAGGAGGGGTAAAGCCAATGCCATTTCGTAAAAAGCAATACAATTCTGAAGTCAATCGAAGAGAGTAATGGCTTTAAATGCCGAACATCGAATAAGCCATATTGTCAAAATCAACAACCTTTCCTTCTTAATTTTTTTACAAAAAAATGATCCGTTTTCGGGATACATCAGATACCGTCAGATACTTAGTTAAAATTTTCCGAAACATGGTTAGTTTTTTGCCATTGATGCGGCTACCTATTTATTTTCATTTTACATTTTATAGGAAAAATGTGAGAGAAAATTTGTTTATTTTTTTGACGAAATTTACAATTCTTTATTTTAGTAATGGTCTCATCAGATACATCACTTGGTAGGAGCTAAAAAGCGTGCATCGATTGAGAAAATTCTAAATATACCTATATCTTGAAAACGATCTCTTTCAGCGGTTTTGAGAAAGTGTACCATTTTTACTTAAAACTGGTGTGGTATAAGTTTTTCTCATGAAGAAACCCAAAAGTTAACTGTCAAAAAAATTCACTTTCTTCGACATTTCCTGAGTCATATCGAGGGAGCAGCCCAAAATATACACTTTATTCTCAATCAGTATTCTTATTACGTAACTTGTGTTGAAATGAACATGTTCTGTTCGTGCAACTAGTTAGTTAAAGTAAGACGTTTGAAATCTTCAGTCAGTTTCGAAAAAATAAAATTTCAACACAAAACCTATACTTTTCCAAAACGAAGCATTTCCCGAGGCATTTCCGGACACAATTTAAAGAGTTTTTTCTTGAAATTGTCTCAGGAATACCTGGATCAAATATGTTAACGTACTTATGTATATTTTCCAATTGAACCCGAGATTTAACCCAAATGTTATGTTCATTCACAGGAAGCGAATCTATGTAATAATTCTAATTCCTTCAAATCATTCAATCGTACATGCTAATGCATCAATCGTAAAACGGAATAGGTTCAACATTCCGATGATAGTAAACCGTATCTACGAATCGCGAATAAATCCATAAACGGTCAGGCGATACCAAATTCAGCATACCAGAAGTACCTACCTACCTTCCCGATTGCGATATCAGTGACGTCGAATTCTAATAGAGATACAATGCCATTCATTCATGTTTTTTAACGAGTGCACATCGATGACGTCATGCTGCACTCGAATTAAATTCGGTTACGTGCGATCGAGTCGCCTTCATTGTTTGAATATTTAATAAACTTTGCCGCATCAATTGCGGAACGCGGAACAACAATCATTGACCTAATCAGATACATCAAGATTAGCATTTTTATGGAATACAGACATAACAATGTTTTCTCTGTAGACATGCCTCGTGCCGTGATGTCTCTAAACGTTCATTCTCGGTTTCTTCATTTCTTCATTTCTTCATTTCTTGGTGGAGGCGAAGCAGCAGGTGCCTATTTTTTTGGAACTGGGATATCTGAACACCCTTTTAAAACTGTTGAGTGTGAAGGAGTTAGGCAGTCAGAACAGAATAACCTCTACCAGCTCATAATATTCAGGATATAGTGCCCAAGAATGAGCAACTATATGACCCTGAACGGACAAGAACCATTTTGTGGTATTGCAAGAACTATACAAAGGACAAGCATGGAAGCACGGATGCACACACATTCTGAAAATGGTGAAACAATTCGCCAAGAATGATAGCGATTTCATCGAAAGGACAATGTCAATATTCAGACTACCATAGAGAAACCTAGAGTGGGGTGCAAGTACCTTACAAAAGACAAACATCAAAAAATCATGGATGCAAACACAATCTCAAAATGGTGAAACAATTTGTCAGGAATGAGACAAGCTTAAGAGTTCATCAAAAAACTATAATGTCAACATCCACAGCACGATGTCACAGACTACCTAGAAACTTGTGTGGTACTGCACGAACTACACTATAAGAAAAATATGAAACCATGGATTTAAATACAATCTCACAGGGTGAACCAATTCGCCAGGAATGAAACAGGATCAAAGAGTTTACCAAAAAGCCGATGGCAACATTAATAGGTGACCTACCAATAAACCTAAGAGTCAGAAAAAAATACAACTAGAATAATAATTCTACCACCACTGTGAGGACTGGTCACTGGTCAGGACTTTGTCAGGACTCAAGGTTCTCAACGCTAGAAAAAGAACGACCATAATGGCTGCGTTCATAATTTTCCTCCTTTGAGATTGAGTAGAGATCATCTTGGATCACCTGATCAAGAATATATTGGTATAATAGTTACCAAGAGATGCCGCTCAGAAACTTTTAAGTGAAAGTAATCAATCAGGAATTCACAAATGTATGTTGTTCACTACAACTATGAACAGGCCAAACTTGGTTCTGTCAAAGTTTACAGAATTAAAAATATATTTTCAATTCTGTAAACTTGAGAAGTCCTTGAGGGTGCCAGAAAAAACTAGTTGATGGGTTAAAGTTAATTTTTGAATCGAAATCCAGAAGTACCCACATCACTGCTCTACTCAAATATGGGGTAATTAAAAAATACTCTTTCAGTATGTTTCTTGTGAAATGATACTTCATATTGTCAGAGTAGGTCTGGAAAATCTTTCATATCTAGTAAGTAGGTCTCCCTCGGAGTAATTTTATCTACGCACACCTACCAAGAGCTCCAATCTTGGCTCTGAAATAGGTACAAGGAAGATCTGAAGTGAAAGCTAGATTTGGTGTTAGATCCTGGTCGAGATCCTGGTAGATATCTCAAGTGGAATAATAATTATTTGAAATGGCTGAATCGAAATCAATTCGAAAACAAGGTACTTTTGCTCTACAAGGTCAAGTACCTAGGTAAGATACCTAAAGTACTCAGAGTCTAACCATGGAAGTACATAAATAATGAATCCTAGACTTCCTATTTTGAAACAAATCTGAATCGAATAAACGAAGACAGCGAGCGACATACAATAAATCCGAACGAATCAAGAAGTCTCCGCTCTCACACAAAAACCAAGCATAACCAGAGTACAGAACACCAGGCCTCGGTTCTCGATGACTCCCTCATAGCTGGCTGTGATGACGACGAAAACAAAACAACCTTGAGCGCGTAGTTTCTCGTGGCGTAAGCGAGTGATCGGCCTTCGCGTCGCCGTTTCAGAACCGGACCAGAGAACCTCGCTTCACCTCGACAGCGTTGCCGTTTCAGATTAATCACAAGGTCTGGTACTTTTCCTTACTACGTCCTAATAAAATCCTTC